AAGGCCGTTGATTTCCCCCCTGATGTCCCATGTGAAGACCGGCCCGGTGCCTCGGAAGGAACCGGTGATGGACCTGCCTAATCCAAACACAGGCCTTGTCTGAATCATCGGCCTGTGTTCTGATTGCCTTTTCTAACGCGGGCTGTGGGAACCCTGGCTATGCATTGTTTTTTTTTCCCAATTACAAACTACACCTATGACACCAACGTACTTGCCCCAGAAAACAAAATAAAGAAAACAGAAAACAAACAAACAAACAAACAAACAAACAAACAAACAAACTGACCTCTACAGAACACAGCCCGTTTCACCAAAGACGAACTTCGTTAGTGAAGGCAGAAAGCAATTCAAATCAGTGTTTAACACTGTTTATCCTATTTCAACGAATCACGATATATCGACCAAGTAGAAAGATCTCAAGAGGACAGCAAATTTCACAGGCTCATGCCACGTCGCGCTTGCTTGTTTTACCTGTGCTTGGGAGCAAGAAGACATGTAAAAACGCACCGCACATGTGAAAACATTATCGTCAGATCTTGCAGTTTAGCGTCCGACAGCAACCTCCTTTCCCTCCTCCACGCCCCCCGCCCCGCCGCCCCCCCCCTCTATAAGACAAAGCCGGTTTCACGCAAATTATCGTTCTGAGCACAAGCCATGTATGCCATCTTAGGTCCTCTTGGCCCGGAACGATATTTTGTGTGGAACTGCCGATCATGAACATCGCGTGGCGAAAAGTCGTCGTCATCATCCTTTTTACCCATCCTGTTTTTTTTTTTGTGTGTGTTTTTTAGGAGACATCAGTCGAGGGTGCATTTACTGAAGGTGATACGAGCATCGCTGCATCGGATTCCCCCATTAACTGGCATCCAGTGATTGATGCCTCCGGTCATTAATTTGGAGCTGAAGTAATGTGGTCCCCTTGTTCACAAGCAGAAGGGTGGCGCCACACCAGAGCTAGCAGACCACAGCCCTCGACTTATGTGGGTCGTATCAGTCGCAGGCGAGAGCCAGATACAGTTAGTGTTAGGACTCCCTAGGAGCCTAATATCACCAAGACCCGGGAAACATTCCAGCCTTGGAGAACCCAGCCGAAAAAGGACATCAGCTACTCGTTCACGATACCTTTCAGCGACAAACAGGTCTGACCTGAGTCGGCAAAGAGAAGGGAGGCCACAAAATTAACGCAACAGAGTTTGCGTTTCACATGCACTATCGCGTACAGCAAGCACAAATTACAAAAGCCAGTCCCATGCAGCACGCGACAACAATGGGCAGGGATGTACCAACGTCCATCGCCACAATACCTGCGCAGACTGGTCCAGTTTTGAAACGATTATACGTTTCAAAACCGGTATATACGTGCAATTTCCCCTATAACTACTTTCTGCGATACTCCGKCTGTACTGCAAGCCAGCTCGAGCTCTCTGCGTTTTGGTTCAACGCACCTCATGCCTGGCCGAAGAAGCCATGGCAGTCAGCTCAGTGGGTGGTAGACTCACAYCTCGACTTCCCTGAGTGAATCAWACTGCATCTGCGGGCAGATTCCTCTCCCCCYCTCCCCCCCCACCAACGAACAAAAAAAAACTTGCTGTGTCAATTATGCTCTTTGACACACACAGTGTTCCTCTAATCATCCATCGTTACAAGAAACCAAAGAGTTGGTTTATTTTGAATCAGCGACTGGCACATTGAAGTTAATCCCGGCGGCATCACACGCGGTCAACAGACGCGCCCACTTGTCCTGCAGCTCTCTGAGTGTGCACGAGGCCACTGGCGACTGAGCCAGCCAGGTCAGGGCCTGCTCAGCCGCCGCCTCCACCCCCTCCCTGACTCGAGAGGGAAGGTGCGTTGAAACTACGTCTCTAGCTTTCTTAGCACGAGATTCCAACGCACTCCAAACTCCACACTTCCGCTTGAAGTCCTCGTCTGCTCCTCTGAATCTTTCACCATCTTGTGCCATCTTCTCTACGTCCGTCCTCGACAACCGTCCCTTGTCTGTGATGGTCGTGTACTCTGTCTTTCCCTGAACAGTGTGATTCTCCATTGCCTCGGCGGACAAGTGCAGTATGCCGTCTTCATCAACTCGCAGAACGACCCGTGCATGAGCGTCTCCGGCCTTCACACKCTGGAAACCGTCGATTGTGAGCCTGCCAAGGAAATGGTTATCTTGTGGTCGACTTCTCTCTCCCTGGTATATGTTGACGTCCATGGCGGTCTGATTGTCTTCTGCAGTGATGAAAAGCCCACTGCCTTCKGCGGGTATCTCTGAGTTCTTCGGTATAAGGGGTGCAATATACCCCGGATAGACGTCGATACCCAGAGTCAAGGGGGTCACGTCTGTGACCGAGAGGTTGGCGAAGTCCACACACATGTCGCCGCCCAGCATSTCCGCTAGAACCGCTGCTCCGTACGCCACCGCCTCGTCAGGATGCATGCACTGGATCGGATCCTTGCCGTCGAAAAGAGCCTTCAACTCCTGCTGGAYCTTTGGAATCCTCGAAGACCCGCCGACCAAGAGGACCCCCGACACGTCGCTTGTTCTCAGATCAGCGTCTTGCAACGCTTGCTTCACCAGAASYATACACCTAGAGAACAAGTCCTCGTTGATCGTCTCAAACTCGACACGAGTAACCGGTACACGGTCGTTGGCAGCCTCCACGTACGTGACAGGGCATTCCTGTCTTGACAGGTCATGCTTGGCCAGTATACACTTCTCCCTCAGCGCCGCTAGATGTGCTGCATCGGACGTRTAGCTGGAGGTAGGCCTGTTCTGCTTCTTTGCCAGCTTCTCGATCACGTGCCTCATCAGCCTGCTGTCGAAGTCCGCGCCGCCGAGATGGCTATCTCCCTGAAGAGCAAGCACTTTGTTCTGAGTTTCACTCACAGRTATTACGGCGACGTCGAACGTACCACCTCCAAGGTCGAAGACCACCACTTTGTCGCCTTCCTTGTGRACGTTCGCCGGCGGAGGTGCAGCAGCCAYGGSCGCCGATCTGGGAACGATGTCCAGACATCCCCCTTCTTGCACCTTCTGCGGGCGTAGTAGTTTCTGCTCGCAGTACGCCAATGCTGCAGCTGTAGGCTCGTTCATGAGCCTGAGGACGTTCAGTCCGGCGATGCGACCAGCATCCATCGTCGCCGCCCGTTGAGCGTCGTTGAAATACGCCGGCACAGTGATCACGGCCTTCGTGACCTTCGTCGTTCCAAGATAGTCTTCCGCCATCGCCTTGAGCTTCGACAGCAGCATGGAAGACAGCTGCTCTGGCACCATCTGCCTTACCTCGCCGTCTCCCTCCGTCGGGATCTTCAGTGCTGCGCAACCATGCGGCCCTTCGACAACGCTGAAGGGCCAGATCTGCTTGTCCTGCTGCACGCTTTCGTCCTTGAGCTTCTTGCCGATCAGCCTCTTGACTTCGTAGAAGACACTCTGTGGCGTATCCGCAGCGCAAGACCTCGCCTTCTGCCCCACTTCTCTCCCATTGTCGGTGATTGCCACGTAGGACGGAACAAGTCTCAAGCCGTCGTCGAAATCACTGAGGATCTCCACTCGCCCGCATCTTCTCACCGCGACGCAGCAATAAGACGTTCCGAGGTCGATGCCTATGGAGGCTCCGTCAGAGGCCGTCCGCTCTTCTCCGTCCATGGGTCCCCCCACAAGAACAACACCCCACGAGCAACCCTCCTTCACCGCTGATTGGAAACTGATCTACAAATGCCCGATTTCCGATTATCTCTAAATCTCTCATAACCTAACTCCCTTACGGTCGTTCAGAAAAGAGCCCTCCGTGAAAATATTCAACGAATATAACCTTGTCGCCAGTCGCTAGCACCCTTCCGAAATGACGAAATGTATCCCATTGAGCACTCGTCTGCTGTGCTATATATTAACCAGCAACAGCCTAGAGGGCAAGGTCCGCTTTACGTAGAAGAGCAGCAAGAGGGCAAGGTCGGCTTAAGGTAGAAGAGCAGCAAGAGGCCAAGGTCCGCTATTTTAGGTAGAAGAGCAGCAAGAGGGCAAGGTCCGCTATTTTAGGTAGAGCAGCAGGAGGGCAAGGTCCGCTATAGGTAGAGGAGCAGCAAGAGGACAAGGTCCGCTAAGCAGCAAGAGTACAAGGTCCGCTATAGGTAGAGCAGCAGGAGGGCAAAGCCAGCGGAGTGGGGTGCAGGGCATAGCGACACGTTCTAAGGGCGAGGGCCCCCCAGCGAAGAGGATTGGATTAAAAGCCTGAACCTGGAAGGGTTTGTGACGACGTGCAGAAAATCCCAATTGATCTGCGTTTCTGCATCTCTGCACAAAACACGTCCAGATTCGGGCGTTACGTCCAATACCCCCTTTTTCCAGTGGGATCATGCTCTGACACTCCCCGGGGCAAGGTCCCACTTGCACGGATTAAGAGTTTCTGGCCGTTGATCTTTGCTATCTATGGTCAATATCGCTTAATCCGTGTAAGTGGGACCTATCCCCCGTTGAGAAGATGAGGAGGCGCAGCGGAATTGTGCACCATTTCCACAGACAGACAGACAGTAGTGTTCGACTCCAACTCCGTCGTCTGTGCTCTAGTGTGTGTTGCAGAGTGGATTTCGTGCATCTAGGTGGTAGAGGTGGGGTGCACCGCGAAGGTCCGAGGCCGAGGTCCCACTAGCAAAAGAGGATGGCTCTCACGCCCGAATCGGGACGTGTTTGTGAGGAAGGGCAGAGAATCGGAATTGATCTGCTTTTCTGCATSTGTGYGTCGGACGCGTCCACAATCATGCGCTTAATCCACTCTCCTCTTTGCTGGTGGGACCTCGCGCCAGTGTMCAGGTACTACCGTCTTCACCCGAATAGAACGCCAGGGTACTTATTKCTGCATCTGGACTGAAAGTTGCATCAAATACAGCTATAGTGACCGGGCGTTCTATTCGGGCGACGACGGTAGTATAGGAGGTCCAGCACGACAGTTGGTTGCATCACGGCGAGATYCMCTCCCCCAAATSATTATTCGTTATGGCGATCGACGGTCAGACAGGGTGAATCTGGGCAAGTGGGACCGACTCCTCTCCTGATGCTTGCTTTCTTTATTTTCCTTTTCTCGTGTTCGAAGACCGCCAGCCCCAAACATGGTTGACCCCACAAACCCCCCCCCCCCAAAAAAAAACAAAAAAAAAAACATGGTTGACCTCATGGTCGGTAGCTAACAACAATCCCCTCCCCCCCCCCAACCTCCTCCAAATCGCCGGCCCAAAAAACGAAAAAACAATCAGATCCCTACATAGTTCAGCTTATGGGTATGATCACTATGGTGACCCCGATGATGCCACGTATGTGTGGGAAGGGGCTATTCTAACTACACGTAACCGATTCGACCGGTCCCACTGGGTGGGATAAGCCCATTCGAACTTGATGCTCTGTGTTTGTCACAGCCCCTCGTTTGTTGTCCTCTTCTCCCTCTCTGCCTACGGTTTACCGTAGGCAGTTCTATTTGACGATATATATATATATTTTTTAATGTGGTGCATTGTGGTCCGATGGACCACGGATCAGATATTAAACTGATCAGAACAGATACTACAAAAGGCCGAGAAAGGTATATGCTCTGTATTTTTTATTTTTTTTTGAATGAATGTCAGTTTATTATAAGGGCCCAGTGCCCAAGGCGTCACAAAGATCACATATGGGATGTCAATCAACAGGGGCCAACAGGCCTCGGTCCCACTCCCTGAACCAAGCCCTACCCCTGCAGCTCAATCAAGGACCAACTATACTAAACAGGAGGCGAAGTATTGSCAGCAAAGTCCGAAAAGAGGTCGCCGAAATGGAGAGAAGCCGTCAGACCATCAACAGAAACAAGCTTGTCACATGCAGCCCAATGCCTACTAAACCATCGTATTCCTGCAGAAACGGACGCAACTTTGTTGACTCGCCTATGCCAATCCAGGAGAATAACGTGGCGCAACTCAGCCAAAACAGCTCCAATCAGATCTTGGCCAGACAAGCGTTTGCCTTCACGGACCACAACGTTACGCAACTTCCAGATATTCCAGAGAATGACCGCTCGATTTGCCTATTTACAGCTCCCTGTGACTGAAATTCCGCCTATATTTCCAATTCCGCATGCGATTCGAGCTCAGGTCTTTTGTCGMAATGGCTTTTCTGTTTGTTTGCCATTCATTCCTTTTTTGCTATGTGATCATCGGAGTGTTGTATGGGCTACCGTCTTCCCCCGAACACAACGCACCCTTATTTTGGCTGTATCTGGCCGGAAGTATAGCTTGTATGCATTCATTTTTAGGGTGCGTTATGTTCGGGGGAAGACGGTAGTCCGCTCCGTCCGTTCAGGGATCCGGCTGGAGACTACTCACACCGCCGACCTGGGCAAGTCTCCTGGGCATAGGGTCAGATCCCACTACCCTGGATTATTCATTTTTCACCCTCAATTACGAAGAACAACGGTCAGAAATGATCAATAGGGGCTAGTGGGCTCTGGCCCTTAGGTCCCACTACCCGTCTTTCCCCGAAGAGAACGTACGGTCATTATGGCCGCATTTGGCTCACATTTCTCTCTAGATGCGGGCAAAATGACCGTACGTTCTATTCGGGGGCAAGAAGGGTAGCAAGACAATTGGCCCTAGTTTCGAAATGGCTATTGAAACCAAGTTATTCGATCTCTGCATTAAACACATTCAGGGCATGTTCACACTACGTACGACTCTTTTTCTTATTTCGCGGATGGAATTGCGGCCAGATGCATTCAGGTGCGCCCGTAAATGCGGTCAGACACATCTAACGGAGTGCTACCCTACTGTGAGTACGCCCTCAGATTCATAATTCTTCTTTGCAAAGGGAGCCCCTTCCCACTGCAGTTCGGACTGTGGGACCGTTTATGGGATCGCCCGGGACAATCCAATTGCGTCTGTAGAAGGGTCGATTTGACTTCGTATCCGCCCCCACTGTTGCACCACTCGCCACCCGTCAAGATTTTGAATGCACCTGGACGCTTAAACGTGTCCAGATGCATTCAAAATCTTGGCAGATGGCGAGTGGTGCAACTATAGGCCCTGAGGCTTGCGCTTCTGTTGAACTGAAGACCAAAGTTCGAATCCAGATGCCGTMAAAAAGGCGTCAAATTAACAAAATCACGTGTTTCTGAATTACCTAGGGCGTCCTTCGGGACATTTGTTAAGATTGGAACGATCCAGAGAAGGGCAATTAGCATGGCCCCTGCGCAAGGGTGACGCGCATAAATCGAGAAAGGGTGCATAAATCGAGAAAGGGGGGAATTACCTAGTGCCGGTCAARAAACCATGATCTCTGAGTCAAGGCCGTTGCCCAAGAAAATGTTTGGCTCGCCCTGAGCCCCTGTAAGGGAAGGGGGGTTGCTCAGACGCTCTCTCACGCAGATTCCCGGGGTTCACCCTTGGGGTCTGCCAATGGGGTTGAATTGTGTGACACAGGGCGTCGCCGCACGGCACAYGGAACGAAAAACGAAACGGCTGCATCTTCCGTCAGAAAATGGCCAGGTTCATCCGTTTGCTATAAATAGTAACGAGTGTATTTTGCCACCTTTCGTGGGCAATTGCACTCGTTTCGTTTTCGTTTCGTGTCCCGTGTGGCGAGGCCTGTGGCGAGGCCCACACACATGAGAGTAGGACGAAACATCTTTGTTTCATAGTTCTCAGATTGTTCTTAGCCGAAACCAGGTAATGGCCCTTGTATTAAAAAATCATTTGTATAATTCTATATGGGACGCTGGCCCAGGTTCCCAGCACGTGTTGCTCCCCACGAATAGACTGGAGCATTTGTCCCACACACACACACAAAAAAAAAAAAAAAGAGAGAAGTTTCTTGTTTGAAATAATCGAAACACATCGAAATGGTGCTGGCAGTACCAAACAATAGAAAGATTTTACAAAAATAGGTCAAATTATCTATGATTAGATTATTATAAAACAGATTAGCAGTGGTTAAAGGATTATTGATCAGCAATAGAATTGTCATCAAAACACTCAGTAAACCCAACCATGGTCACTGGTCACTGATCATGCATGCAGCTTCTTTTATGCAGTCCATAGAGAACATGACAACACGCATGTAACTGTTTATGAGCAGATGAGGAGAGTTCAAATGGCGAGCAAATCAAACGGATGCACGGCATATACTCACACTAGGAATTTGCTAAATGTATCTGACTGGAATGACGGCCAGAGCGGGATGAATCTGACCGCAGCAACACGCATGTAAATGATTATGAGCAGATGAGGAGTTCAAATGCCGGGGGAATCAAACTGATGCAGGGCATACTCACACCAGGAGTTTGTCTAAATGTATCGGACTGGAACTACGGCCAGACCTGGACGAATCTGACCGCAATCACGTCTACAGCTTAGTATCAAAAGTCCTCGTGCGAGAAGAKCAGGAGTTTACATGCCTASGGAATCAAACTAATGCAGGGCATACTCACACTAAGAGTTTTGTAAACGTATCTGACTGGAATTACGGCCAGACCTGGATGAATCTGACCGCAATCACGTCTAGAGCATAGTATAAAAAGTCCTCGTGTG